GCCAGCACTGGCCAGAATGCCTGGCCTGGGCTGCCTCACTTCTTTTATGGAAGTGGCATCCTCCTGGATGCTGCGTGTGGCCTGGCTGGAAGCTTTCAGTAGCTTCCGGTTGGGCCTCAGACCCTGCGCCCAGGCCCGAGACTACAGTTGAGGACGTGGGCCCTTTTCAGTTGGGCATGGCCTGAGTCTCCAGACTTGGGCTGTTTGCTGCATCTGTGCAGGGCCCCAGGTAGGTACGTCGGCAGTACTGCTTTTCCAAAGGCCGACGGCCTGCTTCCCAATGTATCGGCCCTGCTTTGTGTGTATGTGACCAGGCGCAACTGTCAAGGCCTGGGCCAACTGTACGACGCAGCTTAGTGAGGCTCACACGTCTACCCAACCAACTGGCGTGCTGCGAGAGCCTGAATACCCACATATGGAAATGTCGAATTTCGACCTTTGACGAATATTCAGGCCCGCCTTCACTTAGGTCGGGCACTCGGCTTGCTGGGCGCCTTAGCCCAGAACATGTGATGTCTGATGGGGTCCCTTAAGGGCTCGTTCCTCACACATTGTTGAACCTTTTTTTTCTGACTAGAACAGCTGACCATTACACCAGAAGGTGGCATCACATAGTCGGAAAATTTGACATCGACTTTTTTCCGAGTTGGTGTCATATTCATTAGCAGAAGCATTCAACTTATCAATTTACTGAATTTGATGGTTTTCATCATTCATACATGCGTGCATGCAGTTCGCGCCGGCCACGCACACGTGCCCCCATGCGTGCGGCGCACCCCGAAATCAAAGGGTCAAAAACAAAAAAAAAAACGCCGGGGTGGGGGTGTTGTAGGCCCAAGTCCCGTTCGGCGGAAAATGTCACATATGGCGGGAAAAAAAAAAATCTGGGCTGCATGGGCCGCGCGCAGGCCTGAAAAAAATATTTTGGGGGAGATCTGAGTAGTTCAATTTTGAACTACTTTGAACTACTCAGACCTCCCCCACACTTCCCTGGCAGTGCCCCGGTAGTCCCTTGTAGTGCCCTGCTCGTCGGTCCTCTGCGGCCGCCGTGTGTTGCCGTTTATTGCCGCAGTCGTCTTCTTGGCATCTGTACTGGTCAGTGGGAGGCATCCGCACCCATAGCCAGCGCAGCTGCAGACACCAGTGGGAAGGGGGCAGCAGGACGAAGCCAACGAAAGCAGTGGGAGGAGCAAGGAGGCATCAGCGACAGAGGCCAGGTGGGTTACCACCAGCAACCCCCCCCCTCTCTCTCTCTCTCTCTCTCTCTCTCTCACACACACACACACACACACACACACACACACACACGAAAACTATGCAGCTCCCTCCTTCGTCATCATTTGTCTCCTCCCCACCCCTCCGTCGTCATCATTCTCCTCCTCATTCCTCCCTCGTCATCGTTATCCTCCTCTTCCTACATCTTTCGTCGCCGTTCTCCTCCCGCGCTTGTCACCGTTCTCCTCCTCCCCTTGTCCTCCATCGCCCTCCATCATATCTCCGCCATGTTTTTGTCAACTTCTCACCTCCTCTCCTTCTCCTCCTCCACCATCGTCTTCTCATCTCTCCTCCTCCTTCCCTCCTCTCCTCCTCGTACCTCGTCTACTTCATTGCTCCACCTCCCCTTCTTCATCGTTGAGTAAGCTGTCGCTTTGATTGCGATTATCATTTTATTTTTTTTAACTACTCTCCTCTCCACCTCTTCCTCCTCCTCCACCATCATCTTCTCCATTGCTCCACCTTTCCTGCTGTCCACCCTCCTCGCTCGTCTTCTTCATCTCTCGTCCATCTCTCGTCCTCCTACCTCCTCTTCTTCCTCCTCCTACCTCCTATCTTCCATCGCTTTACGTGCCCTTCTTCATTATCGAGAAAGCTGTTGCTGAAACTGCAACTATCATTTTGTTTTGCTTTTTTCTTTTGACTTCTCCCCTGCTCTCCTCTTCCTCCTCCTCCTCCATCTTCTCCATCTGTCATCTGCCTTTCCTGTCTCCCCATCCTTGCCGCTCCTCTTCTTCATCCCTCGTCCATCTCTCGTCCTCCCTCCTCTTCTTCCTCCTCATATGTCATCTTCTCGATTGCTCCACAAGCCCCCATCTTCATCGTCGAGAAACTTGGAGAAAGCCGGCCCTGAAATCGTGAGTTTCTTTTTGTTGTTGTTAACGTCTCACATCCTTGGAGAAAGACGTCACTTGGAGAAAGCTGTGAGTGGAATTGCAATTCTTTTTCTTTTTTTTTTTAACTTTGCCCCTCCTCTCCTTCTCTTCTTCCTCCACCATCGTCTTCTCCATCTCTCCTCCGCCTTTCCTTCTCGCCACCGTCCTCGTTGCTCTTCTTCATCCCTCATCCATATCTCCTCCTCCCTTCTCTTCTTCCTCCTCCCACCTCGTCTTCTCCATCGCTCCACTCACCCTTCTCCATCTTCAGGAAACTTGGACAAAGCCATCACACAGGTCGGTTAACTTCTCCCCTCCTCGCGTTCTCCTCCTCCTCCTCCACCACCATCGTCTTCTCATCTCTCCTCCGCCTTTCCTGCTTCCCATCCTCATCGCACCTCTTCTTCATCCCTGGTCCATCTCTCCTCCCCTCCTCTCCTTCTCCTCCTCCTCCACCACCATCGTCTTCTCCATCTCTGGTCCATCTCTCCTCCCCTCCTCTCCTTCTCCTCCTCCTCCACCACCATCGTCTTCTCCATCTCTCCTCCCCCTTTCCTGCTTCCCATCCTCGTCGCTCCTCTTCTTCATCCCCCGTCCATCTCTCCTCCTCCTCCCTCCTTTGTCATCGGTCTCGTCCTCCCTCCTCCCTCCTCACTCCCCCCTCCTCAGTCATCTTTCTGCCGTTTTCCTCCTCCCTCCTTCCTTCCCCCTTCGTCACCGTTGTCCTGCTCTCCCTCCCTCCTTCGTCATCAGTCTGCTCCTCCATCCTTCCTCCTCCATTATCTTTCTGCCATTTTCGTTTTTGTTTGTTTTTTCAAATGCGGCTTCCCTCCTCACCGTTCTCTTCCACCTCATTCCTCCTTCGTCATCATTGTCCTCCTCGATCCTCCCTCGTAATTGTTCTCCTCCTCTCCCTCCCTCTCTCGTAATCATTCTCCTCCTCTCCCTCCCTCTCTCGTAATCATTCTCCTCCTCTCCCTCCCTCCCTCCCTCGTCATCGTTCTCCTCGAATCCAGGTCTCTCCGTCTGCCATCTCCACCCCATCTGCGATCTCCACATCTCTCTTGTGTCATCGCTCCTCCATCATCACTCCCTCTACTATCTCCAGTTCTCTCCCTCTGCCATCTTGGTCATCGACATTTAGTGTGGTAGACCATCAAGTTTGACGGAAGTCGACAGGGGGGAGAAGAGGAAGCGGGGGGGG